AGAAAAATATTGCCCACCTCGATATAAAGGTATTTGTCCACCCCATCACTGAGGCTGTGTTGAATCTATTTTATCAAGATTGTTTACCAGATTGTTGTATTGATTTATAAATACATAACACTGTTGTTTTGGGGTGCACGTCACTCTAGCCAGAAAATATTTTAATGGCAAGTCCCGGGAGTGACCAAATCCGTATTTGTGACTTTGGAAATGCCATAAAATTGGAGACTTCAGAGGAATACTACTGCAAATACGGGACGCCAGAATATGTTGCACCAGAGATTGTTAACCAAACTCCCGTCTCCACAGCAACAGACATATGGTGAGCCACCTGTTCTCCAGCATGGAGAAGTGACTACACACTGCAGGCACTACCTTGTTATCTGTAACAAAATAAAATCTGTCTTTTGTGTTTTTTAACATTACTGAACAGTCATTTCTCGTTCTCTCCCATAGGCCTGTTGGTGTCATCACTTACCTGTGGTATGTTTTGCTCAAGAGTTCTGTCATAAGATGTGAATGCTCAAAATTTCAACATTATAGAGCTAGCATTGAAATCTTAATCAGCTTCTTGTTTTTGCTGATGTGTGTACATATATATACATATATATATATTTATTTCAGTCTGACTGGTGTGTCTCCTTTTGCTGGTGAGAATGACAGAGACACTGCCTTAAACATCCGTAACTACAATGTGGCATTTGAGGAAAGCATGTTTTCTGACATCTGCAAGGAAGCAAAGGGATTTGTCATCAAACTTTTGGTGGTGGACAGACTGTAAGTATCTTGATGACACTGGCTCAAGATTTGTCACAAACATGTTTTCACTTCATATGTATTTGACTGACCATAGTTCTGTTCAGCAGTGTTTAAACTGCTGCTTCTTCATACGGATTTTTCCCCTCTCTTAGGAGGCCCAGTGCCACTGAGTGCCTTCGTCATCCTTGGTTCAAGGTGAGCAATAATTTGAACAAACGTTTCTCCATTTAAGTTAATGATGACTCCCCTCTTTTTGTCTTGCAGTCACCAACAAACAAGAGCATCAGCACAGCTATGCTAAAGCAAGTTTTGTTTAGGAGGCGATGGCAGGTAAGCCATGTGGATGACAGCCAACAAACAAAAATGCACATAATGTGTGGAAATGAAAGATCAACAAGCAAAGACTTTAAGGACTGATTTTCAGAGAGCAATTAGCCCTAGTTCTAGACTCATATTGAAATTCTCAGACATACTGTACTTCAGAATAATCCCACATCCTTCAGTCCTATACACCTGAATTCAAAAGCAGATCTCCTAAAGGAAGATTAGGCATAGAAGATTAAGGCTAAATTAAACCTTCAGAGGTGACAAGTTTAACCAATGATATGATTTCTGTCAGTTTTACTTTATTTCAATCACGCTCAAGTAAACACTGTCTGATAAGCACTTTCTGACAAACACAACCTGCCAGTTTTGATTAAATCAGTTTCTGAAACTGCGTTCACTTGTCCAAGAGAAATTCTTTGTAAAATAATTGATAATTTAATAAAACCTTATGTCCTGCCATTATATTCAGGCACTTTTTCAAACTATCTGGTACGAATAAGCCCATATTGACCATTGTGTACCCTGTTGTACCAACATAAAACTTATAGTGTATGAAGCAAAGTTGCCAAGTTGAGTTAAATAAGCGTGAAAGGAGTAGTGACACATATAATAGGATACCTAGACTGTCCTCTGGTGCTTTTTTTTCAGCGTTCCCTTATCAACTACAAATCCAAGATGGTGATGCGATCCATTCCAGAGCTCCTGAATGACTCATCCAGCCACATCTCTATTGCTGTGGCCCAGCATTTAAAAGAAGGCTCCCCACCACCTTCCTCTTCCTCCGACTCAGATGCAGATGTGGATGAGCTTCCCTTCATTCCTATGCCACTGTCCATGGTTTTTTCTGGTTCCAGGGTCTCCCTTACCGAGATCCCAGGGGACGAGGATATCGCCAGATGGCCCAGTGTTTCTGCTGATGGGAAAAGGAGAAAGGATGACACTGAGGTAGCAGATACAAAAGGAGGGGCTAGTAAAAGGTTAAATGATGAAGAGGAAACCTTAAATGAGGAGGAAATTGAAAAGACAAAACAAATTCCCCTTAAAAAAGGATCAAGTGTGGAGGCAGATGACTCACAGGCCAAAGCTAAGCGGGCTACCATGAGGAGAGGCAGTTCTGCTGATTCAGCACTGCTTCTCCGAGTTGACCCAGAAGAGGGAAATGCCAATGAGGATTCACAAGCAAGTAACAAGAATCTTAAAAAGTCTGTTTCTATGGAACTGCCAAATCGCAGCCCAAGCCCTGGTGCAACAAAGTTAAGCCAGGAGGATTATGCCCTAAAACTGGAACTAATGAGACAGAGGCTGCTCAGGGGAGGAAGTATGGACAAAAAGATGAGCGGCCTGCGAGGGCCTTTGTTTGAGACACTTGGCATGGAAGATGAGAGGCGGACAGGGTCTCTTGATCGAAATGTGAGGAAATCCAAAGCAGGGACAACAACACTCATCAGAGCAGCATCTTCTGATTATCCTGGAGACACACCAAAGACCAAAGTTTTTTGCAAAAGCACCTCCTTCACTCATGGGGATTCTGAACCCATGCCACTGCACCGCAGATTTGGAGCCCCCTTAGAAATCCCATCTGTTACCAGTGGCACCATAGAAGGGAAGAAGCTCCAGGAGGCAACTTCAATGACTGCATTAACAGAACAAACTATGTTAGAGTTTCCACCTGCCTCCCTAACAGAGATGACTTCTTTTATACTCCCAAGACCAGGAGTGGACCAACAGCAAAAGCAGAACAATGTGAAACATGAGGACATCCATGGGATAACAGAGAAAAGGACCAAAATCCAGTTAGAAAAGGCAGATAAGGTAGAATCTGAATCTATATCACCCTCTGTCATTACTCCTGTAATTGTGATAGAGGAGGACAATGAAGAAGAAGAAAGGAAGGAAAATCACAAGTTACAGATTAATGAAAAGGACGTGAAGAGAGACAAAGAAACACCACAAAATAGTAAATTGCCATCTGCGTGTGCAGGTGTCATTCAAACTACTGCAGTGCCATCTCAAACATCTAACAAGGCCCAATCCAGAGATCCTTCTGCTACAGCCAAGCCAAATGATACAAAATCAACAGATGCCCCTACATTACCTGAACATCCAGCAGTATTTGCCAAAGTAGCTGACAGATCATCATCATCACCAAACACTGAACTTCCTGCCATTCCCCGCCAGCCTGTGCTAAGAACAGACATCAAAGACATAGATTCAGAGGAGGTCTTTGAAGCCAGGTTTAAGAAACGGGAGTCGTCTTTGACTCGTAGCCTTCGAAAACTGACTGGAAACAAATCAGAGGAGAAATTACCTGTATTAAGCCAGAAAGTGATTGAAGGGAGTGAAGAGGTTTACAGGCCAGGGCCAAGGGGGGCACCTCTTGAAATGGTATCTAAAGAACTACTGAAGAAATCCAAATCTGTTCAAGATCTAAGAGAACAAGATAAAGAAACAGGCTTTAGTCTGACTGGGAGGTTCTCAATGCGGGCAAAGAGATCAACATCCATTGATAAGAAGGGTGAGAAATCAAAGGAGGAAAAGTGTTACGATGTGCAGGAAACTGGTGTACGCAAGAGGGTTTCATGGGCTTTTGGTCGCAGTAAGTCCCTGGATACAAAGGATTTGAACAGCGCAGGGGCACAGAGGCCACTTGATGAGAGAGAAGAAAGTAAAGCTGATGAGTCATCGGTTTCTGCTATGAGGCGCATATTTGAGTCTAAAGTGGCAGGAATCTCTGCCAAAATAAGGACCCAGTCAGAGGAGAGGAAGAAGAAAGATGCTCAGGGGAGTCAGAAAGAGCTGGTTCAAAAAGATTTGAAGAAGGTTACAGATTCTCCTGTCTTGGCAATGCGACAAAGGTTTGAAAACAATTTTCATTCCCAGTCTGAGGGACGCGGGCTCAAAGGAATGGGCATCCCTGAAAATCAACTAGCAAAGCAGACTGGCGCTGGTGCATCCAAGGAATCAGTTGAATCCACTTCTAGTATCACTTCTGAAAAGGCCTCAGACAGTGACAGGAGATCACGGTGGGACAGGTGGGGTTTGACAAGGGGCAAGAAAGACAAAACCCCTTCCCAGTCTGATCTGCCTTCACCTGCCGCCAAAGAGGATTGTTTGCCATTTATCTGCTCTGCTTTGGATTTTGCTCCAGTGTTCCACATCAAACTGAAAGACCACATCTTACTGGAGGGGGATCCTGTCACTCTTAGCTGCCTTCCAGCTGGAAGTCCACACCCAGAAATTACATGGATGAAAGGTATCTTACTTAAATTCTTAAATTTTATGGTCTTATCCAGAAGCTACTGTACAGTTGTTTAAATTTGTGGTGTATTCCAGATCGGAAACCACTGGAGGGGAATGACAGAATCAGCCTAATCTCCCACCCAGATGGTCAGCAGCTTCTTATGATCATGAAGTCCAGCCAGAGGGATGCTGGAATATATGAATGTATAGCTACCAACCCATTAGCTATTGTCATCACCTCCTGTACACTGGCCATAGCTTGTAAGTACCTTATTTAGCTCTTACGTATTTAAAAGGTGTTTTGTAGTTATGTTTTTATTTTATGGAAAAATTCTATTCATTATGTGCAAATTACAACATGCAGTGATTTCTTCTTTTTTTACTAGAGGTAAAATGGCTCCTTTGCCATTTGAGGACAGTAATTATCTTTATAATATGATTTATTTTACATAATAGAATTTTAATTGCAGAGGGAATGCAAGGATATTAGTATAATTTAAGTGAATATTAATGCCAGTAGATTAACTTATTGGGGTTTTTTATCATGTCATAGGAACAAATGATGCTTCCTGCATACTTTTTAATTCAGCTGTGACAAGTCACATTCAAGACTTAAGTCATATCTGTTATGATAGCTCGACCACGGTAGTGAACGAGCAATAAAAACGGACCCAGGTAGCTGACTTCGGTGCAAGCAGTGAGGGGTTTATTTACAGTGTTTAGGCAAAAGTGCAATAAACAGATAGGAGCTTAATGGTGTTGAGTAACCGGGTGTCGATCTGTGGCAGAGAAAAACAGTCAATGGTGTGATGGATGATAACAGACCGGGCTGCGGACGCTGGGGTCACTCCTGGTCGTAGGTGAAGCGATGATGGCTGAGGAGACAGGAGCATGCATAGATAGTTAACGAAGACTGTGCATCAACCTGTATGGAGGAGACTGGTTGGGTTGAGTGGTTCCAGAGGAGAGGTCTGAAGACAAGGGAAGGAGCGCAGGAGCAAAGGGTAAAGGGTAAAAGTTATAAGACAAAACTTCATAAAACTAAAGAAAACCGCAAGCAAGGGGGCCTGAAAAATAGAGATTGATCTGGCAAGGGAGTGAACGGTGAGCAGGGTATAAGTAGGGAGGAAACTAATCAGGTGCAGCTGGTGATGAGCTGGGGAAGTAGGACAGGTGTGTCAGATAGTGTAATTAGGGTAAAGAAGCAAAACTAGAGTGAGGAAAAGGAAGAGATAGAAAGGTGCAGCCGGGCAAACCTGACAATATCTTAGCACAAATAGCATGTAATGAGAAAAACTGTGTTTCAAAAAAGCAACAACAATAATAGACTTTTAAGGCTTCAGTGAAAAATATATTTCTCAAGTGCAATGGATTACATTTGAATTTTATTTGTTATGGCTTTGAACAAGTAGTATTACTTATATCAACCACTGATGCGATTTGTCTGCCTAAAAATACTTCACATAGCTGGCTTAATGGGAAATGCATTGTAAAATTTGAGAGTAACACTCATTGTTTCAAGTTTGGTTTGTGAAAAGGAACATCTTTATTTCCTTTGGCATGTTGAATTTCAATAAGGTTAAACTGTGACATTCTGGGGGGAAAAGGCAACTAAATGCATGGATTACCAGTTATAAAATGCAATATTAGCTTTTATTAGGGCCTGTAGTTCACACAGTTAAGTGTTGCTCACATAAGCACACTCAGTAGTACAGTAGTACAGCTGTGCACACATACTACTAAGTCCATGGTGGATTTACGAAAAACCTAATACTTTTTTGGCATTTAGAATATCACACATTCACATTCACAAGTGCTCAACATGAGCACAGTTTTACATACTGGCCAGTGAAAAGCCGAAGAGTTTTTTTTCTTGGAATCTGTAATTTTCATAATCACTTAATTTGGAGGGTTGTAGTGGGTTATTGGTTGCACTAATCTTTGAATTAATTATCGATTTTAGTTGATTGTATTGGAGAAACTGTTCTCTCTGAACTCCGTACTTCTGAATCAGTGTATTAAATGATATGAACTGGTTATTTTCAAATAGGTGATGTAAGTGACTGATTCCTTTGTGTTGCCATGTTGGGAAATATATATGGTTATTATGTAGTTGAAAATCAGGGTTGTGCCAAATTGGAGTGTAAGTGGTGGTGCAAGTGATGATTTAGTGATTTTGTTTGCTTTCCACCAGGCAGAGTTGAGAGGATTGTGATGTTCCTACAATAATTCACTTTCTTAATAGAGTTTGGGAGAAAAGGGAGGTCTGCAACTGAGTTATTTGAATTATTTTTGGAGTAATTTTGCTGATTCCAAGAAAGTAATATCCAAGCTATTTAAACTCATATCAAATACAAATTAAACAATAGCAATACCAAAACTCAAATGGGAAAACGATTTAACTCTCTCCCTAAGCTCCAACTTCTGGTCAGAAATTTGCAATAACATCTTTTCTATGACCAGCAACGTAAACTTACAACTTATACAATGCAGTACCATCTATAGCACTCATATTACACAAAGTAAAATGTTTAAAATGGGTTTCACTTACACAGACATCTGTTCACAATGCACTCGAGATGGCACCGACAATTATTTTCATGCTACTTGGACCTGCCAACCAGTTCATTCCCTCTGGATAGCAGTGACAGAGAAACTCTCCACCATCTTGGGCTGTAGAATCCCTCCTTCTCCATCACTTTGCTTACTCGATAATATCATAGAAACCAACCACCTACCAATTAAATATAAAAACCCACTCCTCATTTCTCTAGCTATTGCCAAGAAAACAATCTTTCAAAACTGGAAATCAAAAAAAATCACTGCATATAAATCACTGGACCAACCCTCTGATAGAATACATCACATTAGAGAAAATGACATCCACTCACAAGAATAGTTTATCAGCTTTTTATGACACATGGAACCCATTTTTAACACATTTCAACTTGAACCAAACACCTGGAGCTGAGGCCACGCACATTCCCACCAACCTCTAGACGTTTAACAAGCTGATTTTATTAGTAGTACTGTTATCATCATTATTATTGGTATTTATTTATTTATTTATTTCCCTCCTTTTCCCTTTCTTGTGTTTCATAGACTGCATAAGTTTTGAAATACCCACACTTCACACACTACAAGTGTTTTGCTATGGTCTGTAATGTGTTTTTTCCATGCCAACTAAACTCATGTTGTGTTATTTTCTCTTTCTTTTCCACCCCCACCCTCTTGCCTTGTTAAAGGTATCCCAGAACGACCAGGGACCCCTGAAGTCCCCCAGACTTTCTGCAACACAGCCTTGGTGCTCTGGAAGCCATCGGACACCAAGTCTCCCTGTAGCTACACACTGGAACGAAAAACAGAAGGTGCTTGAGTACTGACATTTAACAAACCACTGAAGGTCCCCTCATTATTTAATTTTTCTATTTAGTAATATTTAGCTCATTCAAAGATATATTGTCTCTTTTGTTGTTTTTTTTAAATTAAAAATTAGGATAATTTGCTTTGCTTTGCTGTTATTTGCTTTGCAGGTAGATTTAAAGGTTTTAAAACTACATCCCCACTGATTATTAGTCAGAATGATGTATTATAGCCACATGAGGAAAAATTTTATTTAAGTTGAAGCTTCAAGTGCCTCATTTGTACTGTATGTGAAGAATGCTCAGGGATATAAGTTTCCAAATCCACAGCACTCATGCCAGTGGGACAGCTGAACAGAGATTGAGTCAGCCCACAAGGGAACAGTGACTGTACCAGTGCTGCTGTCAAAGCTCTTTGTCACTGTGCACAACGAATCATCATTATGTCATAATGTGGTAAATATAGTCACACAAACTTCGCGTGGCAGACTCTGACTTTGTGAATATTTATTGAATGTTTTGGTGTGATAGATTTAATTCTTCTGGCATGTGTCACATTTAACCTTTGCCAGGCACCACTGATGGAGGTATTTACAGTTTAATTTGGGTCTGCTTCACTGTAACTGCACAGGAATTCAGATACCATGACAGGCAAACTGAGTATTAACGTGTCTGTATATACATATACATAACATTTTACCAGTGGTGGAAGAAGTACACAGATTGTTTACTTAAGTAAAAGTAGCAATACCACAGTATAAAATACTCAGTTAAAAGTAAATGTCCCGCATTCCAAATGTTACCCAAGTAAAAGTATAAAATTAGCATAAAAATCTACTTAAAGTACCCAAAGTAAAAGTACTCATTATGCAGAATGGCACAGATCCCATAGTATAAATTAAATTGCTTTATATGCTGCTGGGGAGCTTGTGAATTTCACACTGAAGATCAACAAAGTCTTATACTGTATTATACTGTGTTTTGTTTTACTCATCTGATGATTTTTCATCTGTGAAAAGTAACTAGTAACCAAAGTTATCAAGTAAATGTAGAAAATGAAAATTCTCAAGTAAAGTACAGATATCTCAAAATTGTACCTAAGTACAGTACTTCAGTAAATGTACTTAGTTACTTTCCACCTCTGCATTTTACATTGTGTATTGTTTGAATATTACGTTGTAGTTCATGAGCATGTCCACATTTTCTCTTTGGCAACATTGCTATCTTGTGTTGAATATGTGAACTACAACAACTCACTGGCCATATAAAAAGAACCAACACTTAATATAAATATGAATCAAATATACATATTTGCTGAACTAATATGTAACTCCAGGCTGTGTCCATAAAGCTTGTTTAAAGCACACTCATTTCTTTTCCTGTTGTTCTGCAGGGGATTCTGCCTGGCTGACTGTAGCAACTGGAATTGTTGATTGTTACTACAACGTCACAGACCTGCCATCAGGCGGCTCCTTTAGGTTCCGTGTCTGCTGTGTCAACAAGGCCGGACAGGGACTGTACAGTAACTACTCAGCTCCAGTCAGCCTGGACTCCACAGGTGAACATCAGAACAGCTGAGTGACATGTATCAGGATGTGCATTACTGCACACAGTTAAGGGACAGTACTGTACTGAATGGATGTACTGGCATTATAATGGAAAGACAGAAACCATTCTTGTGATGTATAATGGCAAAAGAATGTACTCGTTATCTTTTTTGTGCTTTTCTAAGAAGATGTGCCCTGAATACATTTAAAATTCTCATGTGGAGTTTAAGGTATATTTTAATTGCTTTAAGGTTTTTCAAATTGCATCAATAAAGCACTTCACATTCACTTTACATGTATGTAAACTGTAACTGTATAGTGAGATATCAGTATACTTCTTGAAAATAATTTGAGAAATAGTTTATGGATCAAATAACAGGCAGGAATGTTTGTTTATGACTGATCGCACAAGAAAACAAAAACTTGATTACTGCCATTAAGCAGTCAGTTGCCTACTACACCCAGAGACATTAAAGAAGAGCTACCTTAATAATAAGATCTAGCCTATTTGTAATATGTTCATATTAACTACTATATGTGGTTGGATATCATCTGTGTACCTGTTTTCACAGGTATGGGAGCTTCACCCACTGTAGCAGTTGTAAAGACAGTCCCAACTCCACCTGAACCAGTGGTTACCTCTTCAGCAACTGTCTCCCCACTCAAAACAGTCCAGAGCAGCGGTCCCAGAATAACTGCCTCCACCTTTGCTTCTCCCTCCACCTCTCCAAAAGATGCAGCCTGCCCTGTTGCTTTCCCACTTGCAATTACATCAAAAACAGTAGTCAGTCCCAACCCTCCACCCTCTCTACCTTCCAGCTCTGCAGCACATCCCCCATCACAGTCTGCAGGCACAACAACCGAGGAGGCTCAAAAAACCATCTCTACTCTTCCTTCTTCACCCACAGTCAAAGTACCTCCACCCTTTGTCCTCCCCAAACCCCAGAGTCCAGTGAACGTGGTGACCCCAATGACCCAGACCCCACCAATATCACCCCCACTTCCTCTTGTAACCCCACTGTCAACACCAACCAAACCAGCAGTGGCCTCCGTGCCCTCATACATCCCCACCACTACAGTCACTGCCCGTGTGTCCCCCAGTCCTGTCTGCTTTACTCCCCAAGTGCTCCAGACATCTAGCCTGAGCCCCATTGGTGAAGGCGCCAGTACCCCCACCAGAGACACCCCATCAGGACGCAGTACACCCTCCTCCACTCTACGACCAGGAGTTCCACAGAAACCATACACCTTCCTGGATGAGAAATCCAGGTGAGACAGATCATTAATAAACAAAATTACAGTGTCTATAAATCATTAGCTAGACCTTCATTTCAGGGTGATATTATTTTGGCCTGACTTGCAATAAATATGATGGAGGATGTAACTACTAAATACCTCACTTGTTGCTTGCTGTTAGATTTTACCTCACCAGATTTATTGTTGCTACATGGTACCTGTGATGAAATCTGCATTAACCAGACTTGAAGTGCTGCTGAATATAAAATGACATTCATTAATTTATCCTGCTTTATTGCACAGAGGTCAAAATGTACTTTCAAAGGATCCACCAGGCTGAAAGTACTATTCTAGGAAAACTGCATGGACTGTATGTGACTTTCACTGGTTGATTTTAGCTTACCTTTTAAATAAATATCCATGTGGCTTTTTGGGGCTAATAATACTAATTAGGAGTAGCATAATATATACCCTAGTGATATAGTTAAGGAAGAAACATTTTAATGCCTTTATGAAAATCCAAAACATTCTTTGTATATTTTTACAGTGATCGCAGTGTGGATGTCGACAGCCTTCAAATAAAGTCACTTCATTAAGACAGCATTGAATTGAACTGTCTTGACAAGATGAATCTTCTGTATCTCCTGCTTGTGTTGCTTACTAATGATCTCATTCGATCTGTTGCCAGGGGTCGGTTCGGAGTGATTCGTGAGTGCAGAGAGAACGCAACAGGCAAAATCTACATGGCAAAGATCATCCCCTACAGCCAAGAGAACAAGCAGGAGGTTCTGAGGGAGTATGAAATCCTGAAATCTCTTCACAATGAAAAGGTCATGGCTCTGCATGAAGCCTACATCACACCGCGCTACCTGGTGCTGGTGGCAGAGTACTGCACTGGCAAAGAGCTGCTGTACAGCCTCATAGACAGGTAGGGTGATGGATATGTCGCTTCAGACCGAGATACATGGGGTTTCAAGAATTAATGCCTTCTATAGTTTTCTTAAACCAGTCATAAAATTGTCAATTCAGATGTATTAATTCACTCTTTAATGCATTTTTTACTTAAATATCAGTTTGAAATGACAAAAACCATCACTGTGGTTACACACATGCCAGTTAAAGCGATCATTTTGCTCTGGCAAGGTTCCGTTACTCTGAGGATGACGTGGCAGGCTACTTGGTCCAGATCGTCCAGGCAGTCGAGTACCTCCACAGCCACCGCATCCTCCACCTGGACCTCAAGGTGGATAACATCATGGTGACCAACCTCAATGCCATCAAGATCGTGGACTTTGGAAGTGCTCAGAGTTTCAACCCACTCAACCTCAAACACCATGTCTCAGGAGCAGGAACACTAGAGTACATGGGTGAGGAAAAACCAGACCAAACAATGTCCACTGTCTTACTTTGCTTTTTTTCCTTTCTTTTTTTTTTGCTGTGTAAGTATTGTGGAGTTTAAAAATGGAAGGCAAACATTCTTTTTGAGTTCCATAGATTCATTGTTAAAGCAACACTGACCTTTAAGTTTCCTAAAATGTCATCTTTTTGACAAATGTGATCCAAGCTCCTGAGATGGTGAAAGGTGAGGTCATTGGACCTCCTGCGGATATTTGGACTGTTGGAGTTGTCACCTACATCATGTAAGTGGAATATCCTTTTCTATATTTGAGGCCACTTTAATAACCATAACTGCATATTTTTTGGAATTTATTTGTGGGGTGTATGCTCAGTATACAGTGCCATCACCACTATATACTGTATATGTTTGTTTGTTTTACAAATTATGGGAATTTAAATTTGCAGAATTATCCATTATAACCTTGTTTTTTCTACACGTACAACCAGGCTGAGTGGCCGGCTACCCTTCGAAGATAAAGACCCGCTGAAAGTCGAGTCCAAAATCCTGATGGCGAAGTTTGACCCAACAAAACTGTACCCAAATGTGTCCCAAAGTGCCTCTGTCTTTTTAAAGAAGATGTTGAGCAGTTACCCTTGGTGAGTGCCAACACGGGGTCATTTATAGTTCACATCTTCAGACATATTGATAATAATTGAAAAATCAACCACTTTTTGACTTAAATATATTCTTCTGAGCATATTCAAATCAACTTATTTGGGATTTTGCAGGGATAGAGCTGCATGAAAATTACTTTCACAAGCAATCACAGATACAGAGTATATGAAAATGTCAAATGTTTCCTGTAAACATGTTATCTGTGTCAGGGTCAGCCAGTAAAGCTACCCACAATGTTAAGGTGGACTCAATTACAAAGCCAGGCGAGATGGGGTAAAGAATATTGCATTACTGTATTCACTCAGAAAATACATAGTGATAGTCCAAAATCCAATATCCACATCAAACAACAGTCCAGGGTAAATACCGGCAAACGAGCACAGCCAAGGGATTCAAAAACGGGAGATCAAGAAGCTCGTCCAGTAGTCGGTAGACAGAAGAAACATTCAACACTCAGGAGGGCTAGGCAGAAATCGGTAGTCAGGAAACAATCCGGGGTCAATAACATGAATCACTAAAGCAAGGATAATGCTAGAAAGTCTGCACAAAAACAAGAACAATCTGGCAGGTTACTGATGGGAGAAGGCTGCTTATATTGGGGTGAAAACAGGTGCAGGCAATTAGCACTGATTACTGTAAAGAAACCATAACAGATAAACCTAAAACAGGAAATTGTGACAAAATAAGAGCCTAAAACAGGAAGGGGTAGGACAGAACCCTGAAAATCTGATCAGGTTTATAAACAACTGTCATAAATTTATGAAAGTCATTAAAGCTGCTAAAACAATGTTAAGTATGTTTTTGATTGTTAAAAAGAGCCCCGTGTCTCTAGAACCACACCCAACATTTATGAATATTTTTTATGTGCATATTTAGGGCCCGGCCAACTACGCGCGACTGCTTCACACATGTCTGGCTGCAGGATACTTACCTAATGAAGCTGAGGAGACAGACTCTCACCTTCACCTCCAGCCGACTTAAAGAGTTCCTGGTGGAACAACAATGCCGTCGCGCTGAGGCCGCCACCAAGCACAAGGTGCTATTGCGCACCTACCACGGCTCATCCCGGCCGCCAGCGTCTGGGACTACACTGCATGTTCCCAGCACAAAGTGAGATTACAGGGAATATTCATCACCAGACATGAGTTTACAGAGTTGGAGCTGTTACACTGAAGCAGAACAAGCTTTGGCATTTTAACGCCCCTGTGAATACCTGCTGCATGAAAAATTTCAGCTTGCTAAGTGAGGCACAGGCAAACACAGGGGAGTTGGGCAGACAGCTGGAAATGGCTGGCACTAATGGGATTCTGGGCTGAAACAAAACCAGACGAGAAGCAGGTGGCCATGATGTGTTTATTGAATTGATGAAGTTCAGAACTGCTCATAAACCATCGGTCCACTGAAAGAACACAAGGTGTTCTCTGGTGTTCGTTAATGGCTTACACAATTCCTCAGTCATATTATGAAATCTTGCACATTAATGTTTGGTTTAGATAAACATAGCTCTCCGCTCTGCACAATCATTAGCATTTCTACCACGTAACCTTGTTTAAGTCACTGAATTTAGTAAACAGCTCATGTGAATGTACCTTGATTTCAGTTGCTAATTTATTTTTGCATTTACTTACACATTTTGAAACTCAAAACCAAAAATATTCATTTTTCTTTAAATTGTTTATATTTTCATGTTAATTTATTTGCACGTGTGTGTGCGTGAGCATTTTTGGTTCACCTTTTGAATTAGCATTGAGATAAAAAAACAAATAAAATAAGGAGTGTCATTGTGATTGGTGTTAAGATTCACACAGTAAAAATGAACTGTTTTAGGGTGAACTAGGAATTTGTGGTACAATTTCTTGTTCTGTGGTTAAAACTGAACTCTAACTGTAATACTGCTATGAAAAGCAGTCTGTAATGTAGATAACATTTTACTTGGAAAAGTCATACACACTGGTAAATTGTTGTGGTTTCTCAGTATTCCCATTAGTTGGTCAGGTTGCTCAAATCACGATCACCCAGTCAGTGCCTAAATTGGATTAGTATCCAATATATTTATCTTGTAAATGTGTCCCCATTGGTTCTAAATCACAGTTGAAATATTTGAGCAAAAAAAAAATTGGCTTTACAAGAAAAGACAGATGCATATAGATTCTTACATACATGCACACATTTCTACATGCGAACTTGCAGTAAATGCAGTCCTTGTAATAACAGAAAGTATTGTGTATTGCGCTATCACAGTGTTCCTTTTTTGTATGAATTTGGACGGTTGAACATTTGTAAATGTGCCAATTTGCAGTGTTTATATGTGGAAAAAGTTTAAATGTTTTTATGAGAGAGTATGTAATAAACTATTGATACAATTAGGAAAACTGACTGGCCTGTCTTTCTGTGGGTTGCTGTCCTGGGTCTCGCACCTACACCTGGAGTTTACCAAATGTCTCCTGAAGCCAACTAGTCTCCCCTTGTGTGGAATCCTCATGGACCCCTGATGGCACCTGAAGTGCAGTATGGGAACAGCCTAACACAACCAATATGGCTGAAGCAGTTCATTCAGACTCTTGAGCATTTACTCTTTTACTTTGCCTGTGAAATCAAATCAAATCAAATTTTATTTGTATAGCGCCAAATCACAACAAAAGTCATCTAAGGACACTTTACAAAGTAAGGTCTAGACCTTACTGTTATCAATATTATTACATAGGGTAAAACCCAACAAATCCCCCTTGAGCAAGCACTTGGCGACAGTGGGGAGGAAAAACTCCCTTTAACGGAAGAAACCTCCGACAAACCCCGGCGAAAGACAATGACAAGTTAAACACAGGTGGCAACAAATAGTTGCATGAATGTCTCACCCTGTGTTCCCTAACCTAAAATTTTGTCCGTTTTATTATGTTCACACCAAAAAGATTAAATGAAGAATTTTTAAAACTGCCAACAAACTATGGCAGCATTAGAGTTATTATTTATCTTGTGCTTTTTCTACTCAGTCAAGTCAAAATGTTATTTGCAGTGTAAAAACTCAACTCTCAATTCAAAAGAAAAATTGAAATTGAAAGAGAAATCAAGAACAAGTGTGATGGCTGATGGATCCTACCAAAGCTCGCAAGAACCTGCAACATGTCTTCTGTTTAAAATATTTTGTATGGGGTTGTAGAATACATCTAAATATACACTGATCCTCTGAAACCAGTCATTTCACATTTCTGTTGTAAAATTATTGCCAAAGACACAGTTGGAAATCTGTGAACTGTACTGCTTTCTGGCAATATTGGATTTGGCTCCAGAGTGATGGTGCTTTGATTTGTCATGCACTTCATTTAGCCAAACTGTTATTTTATGTAACTCTCTGGTTTTCTGTACAGTTTTGAAATTTATATTTGCCCCACAAAATATATAAAATCAATTGTGGTATAAAATTACATGTACCAAGGTGTAGGGGTTTATCCCAGGAGGTGTAGGAGTGTTGCCCAGTCCTAGTAAAGAACATGGAAATACACAACTTATTGCAAAATTACAAAGTAGTAGATGTTAGTTTATCCTTCCTGAATAGCACTCTGAAAAACACACACACACTAAACATCACACTAAAACGTGGGGGGAAATAAAAAAAAATTACAATATTTTGTAAGCAGATATTCTGATACTGTATTTTGGACAAGGAGCATCAAATCTATATAATAGGACAGAGTGTCACTTGTGCGACGGTCCCTGACTTTGGGCGGTTTCAAGGGAACCCGAACTGGGCGTTTCTTTGGTGCAACTTTGCAGGACTTTTCACTAATAGCGGTTATTACTCTATGTCTATGACTACGCTGATATAGAACTACATATATATAAACCTGCCTGGCACCAAGTGGCATACACGATGTAAACGGTGTCATGTTGAAGCTCAGTGGTCCTTTTTTAATATCCTGTATTATAGGAAGAATACGGTTTGCTGAAGTTAGGGAGTTTGCTTTGCTATCTTTAGCCTGGATTAAACAGTAAAAAGCTGTCCGCAGATTGTGTAGAGCAAAAACACACAACGTTAGCAGTGTCAGTGCGGTCGCATTTTTCTGCTAGCAATATCTAACAACTGATTTGAGTGCAGTAAGTCCGCGTTAGCAAGCCCGCTATTGTGGCTAAGTTTTGAGTAACTTTGTTTCAGGCTACTTCAAGGGACCATCGTCAAACTTGTAGAAACCAGCAGAGGGAGTGTTGTACATGGTCATACTCTCACGGCGCCACTTTAAGTGAAAGGGGGAGCCTTGAAACCTCCATGTTTGTATCTTGAAATTGCGAGCAGAGTTGAGCACCATATTGAATCAAAGTTGCCAACTCCTTGACAAATGTTTTATAACTTTCGTGCTTGTTGATCTGAGCGGACAATAACATCCTAAGTGTAATGGACGCGCTGTAGGCGGCTTGTTGCGATGTTCCTCGGAGCGCTTCAGCTTTGTTTGCCTACTCGCTAAGTTGGTTTAATGCAGCACCGAGTCGGCGAACAATCTCTAACTTTAAAGTGTGAGGTCAGCACTCTGGACCAGACCTGGATGTGATGGACCACCCGTCCTCGGTAATCACCCAAGTCAGCCGGGATGAAGAGGGAAATAAAGCTACAGGAGACAGGGGTAAGACTTTATTTTTGGTCCGCCTGGGTTCAGTACTCTTGTCAAAGAGAAGAAAAGTTTTGCAGCGGTCACAGTTTTGAGTCAGGGTCCGCGCAGTGGCCTTCTTTACAATAACAGCACTTTACAGTTACTGCACTCATCTAAACAACACTCATGGAAAACTAGTTTCAAAACGTGCTACAGCTCCAAAACCGCCGCTTTCTCTAGTTTGCATAGATTATGGCTGCGTACCTTTGGCCTGTAGAAGTAGAGGAAATGACGTACAAATGACAGCTGTAGGAGTTTAATAAAAGCATAAAAATGCCTCGGAGTCAGCAGAGACCAACTTGAATGTTATAGTGATATATAAAATAAAAGCAACATCATAGCTATAGCCTATAAGATATTTGATCAGTGTGATGACCAAATCTATTATGACATTATCCTGCAGAGAATGCAACAGTAGTTAGTTATATTTCCTCTGTCCTGCTGTCATCAGCTTTGTTTGTTTGTCTCTTCTGACTGATTGACCCGTGGCCTGTGAAATTCTGGTTTCTGCAATATAACACAAACGTTATCAGTTCTGTGTTCACTAGCATGGATTTCTGGCATTGCCACTGTGCACAGACCAGTGAGATACCACAGCGTGAAAATGCAGGTTACTGAATAGGTGACCTGTTGGCCGTCCCTCAGGAAATCCTCATAAAGGCAGTAATTCAGCGTTAATGTCTGTGATCACTTCCATTTGATTTCATTTAATGCAGACCACACTGTTGTTTAAACTGCAGCTGTAGGAATAGGCTCTATTCAGGCTGGACACAATAATAAGGGAGTACATCTGTCAACATTAAAGGAGAAGCTGAGATGTGAGTAAATGATAAGTGGCTGACATGTCTTCCAGTGGCCCTCTTGTAAACGTGTAGTAGCCTAATCTATTACATAACCATGGCCCCACACTTTGAGAACCTGTTTACTCACTGTGACACACACCAAGTGACACTGTGAAAGCCACAGTTTGTTAGCGTCACTAACTCATAGAAAGCTCTCAGTTTCAGTTTTACCAGTGGTGGAAGAAGTACCCACATCCTTTACTTAAGTAAAACAGAGTAAAAATGCTCAGTTACAAGTCAGATGGGATTGGCTTCCAGTTCCGCATTCAAAATGTTACATAAGTGCAAGTAAGAAAGTATGAGCATCCAAGAATAAAGTAGTAAAAGTACTCATTATGCAGTGGCACATGTCACACTCCTGTATGTCATATTGCTGTATTATAATTACTGATGCATGATTGTGTATACCATATGTAATGTTTCGGCTGGTCAGGGGGCAGCTAGTCAATTGCTGCTGAGTAGCTTGTGAACTTTCCACCATAGATCAATGAGGTCTTATAATTATACCGTATTTTTCGTATTAATTAGGTTCTGAAAAGCAACTAGTAACTAAAGCTTATAAAATAAATTCAGTGGAGTAAAAAGTACAATATTTGCCTCTAAAATGTAGTGAAGTTAAAGTATGAAGTAACAGAACATGAAAATACTCAGGTACAGATACCTCAAAATTGTACTTAAGTACAGTATTTGAGTAAATGTACTTAGTTACTTTTCACTACTGAGTTTTAATGTAGGAGGATCCTTGTGTTTAGGGGTTGTGGTACCCGCTGAATGCAAACACATTATCCCACAGTGTTTTGACTGGAAGGATTTAAGCCTTGATTTTGCATCATTTAAAATGTGGGCTAAACGGCTGTAAACAGCGCTCACTGTAATTCGTGCATCTCTAGGATGCTTCATCGCAGCTTATGAGTGTAAAAATGAGCATCTTCATGTGATATGTTAAAGTTCAAATGAATGTCTTGCCATTAAAGGCCATCTTTGTTGATGATGAAGTCAGCATTTTGCAACTTTGGGGTCAGAAATGCACAGTGTTGCTTAATGTAGTCACAGAGTAACTGGAGGTCATACACTGATAATGTAAAAATGAGGTCAGAGGAAAGAGAAGGTCCTGCGCTAATGATGTTTTTTTAAATAAGACAGCTATTTTTTTATCATACTGAGAGAGAGAGAGAGACCCTCAGACGTGTTATGCTTGTGTGCTGGGTGAGTGTTGATGTGAGTTTTAGATCTGTTCAGAATATTTTTAAAAGTTGTTTCAGTAATGGCCTTAGGGTGAGAAATAAAAGATAAATAAAATGTAGAATATAGTTGGGTGGCTGTTAAAATGTGAATCATTTGACAAATCTAAACTTTGGTTTGTATGCATCTGTCATTTCACCAGTGATCTATTAATAAGGCAGCACAACAGTGTTGGATGCCCAGTCATGTCCTCATTTAGCACAAATTAGCACTATTGCTTCTGTAACCAGGCCTCACACCATCCTGGTGCATTTTCACATATGAAATTATCAGTCAAACAGGCAGATATCAGCATCTTATTAAATATCAGACACACCCTCAAACTATTTCCTTTAGAAATTGTTTACATTTGGTCTGTGATAAAGGTTAATGTAAAAAGACCAGCACCAGATACACTGGTGTCAAGCCCCTGTGCCTTAACAGCACTGTGATTTTTAAGACAGTCAGACTAAATCGGCCTTCTTTTGCTGTAGGTTCGTTTCCTTACATCTAAAATCCTAGCACAGCCACAGATATATAGTACACTGTGACTGAAGCTTAGATCAAGGAGAGGAGCGGGAGTGCCATTAGAGGAAACTGTCGCCATTGTCAGGCTTTAAACTGGACCCTGGGCTGATAAAATGACCTGATAAGGCAGGAATGTCATCACAAGTGCACAGAGTTTGAATTACTCCTCACTGTTGTCACGTGGTGATAAAATGCAGTTCGAATTAATCATTTTCTGTAAAGTTATGGGACAGGAAAAACATGTTGAGCTAGGCATTTCTCAGGCGCAGGTAATGTTTAAGAAGTAGGTCCAGGCAGAACTGCAGTCCACCTTCTTTAGGTTGGAATTTGACTAAGTAGAGTCTTTACTCTTGTCGGTGCTATGACAAGAAACAGTCTAATTAATTATTCCCCATGGTTTGTATTTGCTTGCTAGGCTGGCAACACATCAATTCCACTGTAATTCCACAAATATTTTCTCACGCCTGGTGGGTGCTTGTGTATTTGTTTATTGTTCCTTTTTTCCTGCATTATTTCATTGTCCAAAAGAACAGCAGGCTTAGATATGTTTTTCCCTGAGCTGAAAGAGGATTTGAAGAGTGTACACTGACTTTCCATAGCAGTAAACATCAAACCATTGGTTCATCTTTGCTGGAAGCCACAGGTGTTGGAGGCATAATTCAACACAATGTCCAAAACCACAGCATGTAAACTGTATAATTAAATGTTACTTCTTATTTGTTGAACTGGAACAGTATGTAAATAAAGTGTTTCTAGCATCTGTACATTATAGGCTACAGTTTTTAAAAAGCGCAGGATATCAGATGATGGTAAGAATCAGTAAACAGTAAGTGAGCAATAAAATGTCAGATTGGAGTCATACTTGCATAAAAAAGGACAATAACACTGAAATACACAAGTAAAATGAGAATCTGCCTTTTAATAACCTGATCTGACACAAAGTCTCCTCAGTATGAAGAAGATCTACTACGTGGATAATGGTGTCACAGACTTACGCCCACTACACTTCAACATGATGGCAAGTAGCTTCCTTCACTGATACCCGTCTGTTTCCTCTTCCTGTTTTGGCCCGAGCATGGCACAGGCCAGTGGAGGGTCAGACGGGGTTTGAATCCACAAATGGAGTAGGAGGGGATGGCAAAGAGGGACAACAGAGGTTTGCATGTTGGCAAAACAGTCACGTCTGGACGGAGTGTGAGGCTAAAAGAGAGAGAAAGTCTAATGTGAGACAGAAAAGTGCAGAGGAGTGTTAATGAGATATTTAAGGGACATGGAAAGGAGCTGATTGGAATTGTGACTTTACAAATATTTGTGAGAGCAGAAATAATCTCTGAAATAAACTTAACTGAGGGGAACTGAAGAGCCACAGTCACCTGGCTCGAGAGCACTGTGCTGCTTTATTATTTTAAAAAGTATTTCATATCACGTGATTCATTATTTTCAATCAGTCAGTCTTTGCAGCTATATTTCAGTGGTGTGGTGTCTGGCTCATTAAAAGATAAGTTTGTGTCATACCTTAAAAATATATAGATGAACAAGAGTGAGCTTTTAATCAGAAGCTCCTGTTTGTGTGTATGTAAACGGATGATTTAAAACAGGTGCACAGTTCTTCTATTGCCGTGCCACAGTGATAAAGACTAAACTCTCATTCACCGTGTGTCTGGTTTGTTTGGCATCAGCGGCGCCTTTGTTCTGTTTAAAAAAAAAAATCATTCTTTTGTTTACTAGTCAGGTAGCAGATGAAAAGATGACATCATGCGGCCAGGGGCTGAACAACCTCATGCATACATGCACATTATTAACTTTGCATATTTGCTAGGGGCTTTTTGAAGTGATCATAATGCAGTAATTTATTTAACTTTTTTAAGTAAAAGGCTGTTACAGTTTGAGCAGTTTTAGGCTTAGTTTTTAGTTAAAACTTCATATCAAGTAAAGTGATTTAAATGTTATTGTGTCATGTTTCATATAGTTTTATAGGATTTGTTAATGGTTAACCTTTATTTTGCTGTACATTGTCATTTGAAATTGCCTATTTCAACAGCTCTTATGGGTGTGCAGTGTTGTCTTCATTACTGCTGTTGATGGTTGTTAAATGAGGTAAACTTTAAAAAGCTTTACCGTCACATAACACCAGAAGATACAAAATGAAGCCTACAAAAAGATAAGCAGTAATCTGTGCATTACACTGAAGGTGGTTGTTGCAGCTTTTGATTGATTTTGACATCAGAGGGTCAATTTCACAAAACCTTCGGGGAGATGCTCGTGTCTCCACGAGGGTTTGTGCATATGACAAAAGTATGAGCAGAGCCGCTGGATGTCCTTTCTACTGTTTTTATATAGTCACTGACAAGGTGGAGTCATCAGCTGGGTGACACACTTGGTGTATGTGTGCATGTGTGTTTTTTTTTTTTTCCTTCCCCTCCTTGGGCTTAATATTTGGCTGAGATCTCAGTAACTTCAATGTGTTTCACTTTTTTCTTTGCTTCTTACTTTTGTTTTGTAACTTTATTTTAATGTCTTTTGATGAGAGCTGCTTTTGTCAGGATCGGCGAGTAAAGCTGCTAATGATGTTGAGAGTGAACTCAATTATAAAGCCAAATGAGTAAAAACAGAACACTGACTCTTTTAACAAGAGCACTGGTCAGACAAAAACAATACACACTGCAGGAGTCTGATTCAACAAGCAACACTCGGGTCAATAATACAGTCCAGGGTCAGAGCCAGAAAACTTACATATCCAAGGTATCCACGAGAAACGCTGTCAGAAAGGGAAGTCCAAAGGGCGAAGCACAGTACACAATCAGAATCACCAGGGTTAGGCAGTAATTAGTGATGGTCCTCTGACACCTGAGGCTCCGACACATGCGTGGTAGCTCATTAAGCAATTGTATCGAACCACTGGGCCGAGGCATGTTTTGATCACGTGACTAGTGATGTTTGAAGCACTTGAGTGACGTTCGAAGCAGTTGAGTGCCTCGGACATCATACAAATCAGTGGATTGGTTTGGTTTGTCATGTGAATCACTTTGCGGGATAGAGTGTGTTCAGGGACAAGATATCCCTATTTAGTGGCGTTCATTTAAATTTTTATTTGCAGAGCAGGTTGGTTTGTTGCTGTTGTTGTCGTTAGTTGCTTTGAGAGTTAGTAGTGCTGTAGCTGATTGTGTATTTAGTGGAGAATCACTATAGATAGAAAGATACAGTAGATCAATAGCTAGCTAGATAGTAAGTTGCATAGAGAAATGGATAAATTAGTTACATAGCACACATAGCATACTCGAGCACTGCGTCATTGAAGCCTTGAGTATTGAACAATTTTTGTAAAAACAGTGTTTTGAAGCTTCAACAAAGCCTCGATCAGCCATCAGTAGCATTAATCATGGTCAAAAAGGCAACCCGGGGTCAGAGCTGGAATCACAGGTGCAAGAAAACTGCTGGAAAGTCTGAACAGGAGTTAGAATGATCTGCCGGCTTCTTGGAGGGGGGAAGCTGCATATAAAGAGGTGTCAACAGGTGCAAACAATTGCCATTGATTATAATAAAGATCCCGTAGCTGAGGTGAGACTGTTACAGGAAATGGTGTCAGAATAAAAGCATGAAACAGGAACCAGATGGGACAGAATCATGACAGCTTTTGGAGGATTTCACGGCTTTTTAAGGACAACATAATCCACAATGATTATTTTCATCACTGATTATTGATTGTTTTTTTTTAAAGAACTGATTAATCATCCAGTCTGTAGAATTGTCACAACTGAAAAGTGCATATCGGTTTCTCAGAGCACATACTGTATCATGAATTTTTTTTGTTTTGTTCAAAATCCGGCATTTTAGAACAGCAGTTAGCGCTGTCGCCTCACAGCAAGAAGGTTCTGGGTTCGAGCCCCGGCCAACCCGGGGCCTTTCAGTGTGGAGTTTGCATGTTCTCCCTGTGCCTGTGTGGGTTCTCTCCAGGTACTCCAGCTTCCTCCCACAGTCCAAAGACATGCAGCCTAGGTTGATTGGTGACTCTAAATTGCCCGTACGAGTAAGTATGAGTTTCACGCTAAGTGTCAGCCCTGTGATAGACCAGTGACCTGTCCAGGGCGTACCCCGCCTCTCGCCCAGTCAGATGGGATTGGCTTCCAGTCCTGGTTCTACATGAGGGGTTAGTGTGGCTCAGCTATAGGTTCACTCATTATCATTTTCCTTTGGGATTTATTGGGTAATCTACCTCTTCAGAGTTTTGGAAATAATCTTTGTATCGCACCTCTTCCTCTGCAGGTTCTTCTCCCTCTCTTTCCTCCAAGAAGCCCAGGAGTGGAGGTCTCTTCTCTGGCTTTTTCTGCTGCCTATGTCGGGACCAGCCTGAACCACCACCGGTCAACAACAATGCCCCTCTGCTGGTCGAAGAGAACGGAACAGTCTCCAAGGTGTGCTTACCTTTGTCTCACTGGATTTAATTCAGGTCATATGCTTTTCCTGTTGTCTTTTGAAAGATGCAATCTGCGCTAGAGAAGTCAGGAAAAAAAAACTTACTTCAACTGGCATTTTAGATCCAGTTTTTTGTCTCTCACACTCTCCGATGTTGTCATCTTTTAAGTGTTGTGTTTGTACTCCGTATTTCAAATTTGTGTGTCTGGGGTCAGGTAGATATCATTCTGTGCTATTTTTAGGTCCAGGTGAAGCCACTGCTGCCTCCAGCAAAGTCAAAAGACTCAGGAAAGATCTGTGTGGTTATAGATCTGGATGAGACATTAGTTCACAGTTCTTTTAAGGTAAGAAGTATAGCAAAATATTGTTGGATTGATTACCAATAGCTATGTGCAAGGTCAGCATTGCAACCATGTTCTTTAATTTCCTAGCTGCTGATGCAGGAATTCAAAATCTTTTCTTTTTTTAACTAAGCAAAGGCTATGACCACAATACATCACCAGATAATTTTGTTTATCTAGGGTCTACGTTTCCACTATCTGCTTGTTGTCAGTGTTGACGGTAACATTTCTGTCATTGCCAGCAAATGGCAAACTTAAACTATCTGGCTGTTAATGCCAGACAAACACAGTTGCTCCTCCATGTACACTCACTGCGGCCCGTTTGGCCCTACCTGCATCTGTTCTGCAATAATGCCATAGCTAGTTCATTTTTAAATGGCCAAAAACCAGTAGTCTTTTCCCCAGTGTTTGTATCCAGAAATAATCCATTTCTTGTTCATTGAAATCATCCCTTTTGTCCTTCCAACAGCCTGTGAACAATGCAGATTTCATCATTCCCGTGGAAATAGATGGAACAGTACACCAGGTAATGCTGGTATTACAAGCAACCAATAAACTCAGCAAATATGTTCACATTGTAACTTGTTGTCTTCTCATGTGACAGTGTCTCAATGGTCGTGTGACAGTGGTGCTCTTGAGTTAAAGTAAAATAGGTGCTGCTGGATTTTAATCAATTTGAGGATATGGCTGCTCAGAGATGGATAACATACCATGGGTCTGGGCCTGATTCAAGTAATCCAGGATAGGTTTGTTCAGACAAGTACAGCCTATTCCGGATGACTTGGTTCAGGAACGCTACCCTCAGCTGCCGACACCGCAGAAAATATAATACAAATACAGAAGTGGGACTTGCGGAGGTAAACGTTTGTGTCTACAGGAGTGCCTTTTCATTCATTTTCTGTAATGTCTAGAAAGCCTGAAATGTCCTTGCAGTGTTTGGGAATTGTACAACCTATCTACTAGATCCATATGGCACAGTAAACCTTCAAATTGTTCAGTCATCATTTGCACAGAAAATGTCATAATCCCCAGGCAGTTAAGGTTTGTAGAAACATTTTGTATTTTGAAAAGTACAGCTTAAGGGTCCTGATGTTTTCCAGGTGTATGTCCTGAAGCGGCCCCATGTCGACGAGTTCCTGAAGAGGATGGGAGAACTATTTGAGTGTGTCCTGTTCACTGCCAGTTTAGCCAAGGTAAGGCCCTTCTGCAGTCCAACTAGTTGCTCCGAAATACACAAATCTCTGAAGTTAAAATCTGATGATAGGTTAATATATGATGAAATCCCAAAGGGAGGTGCAGCAGCCTATGTTAAAATTTCATATCTTGAGTCTCTGAAAATCAGAGGTACAACATAGGAAAAGAAAGCACTTGGAGATTACAGCATGATGGTGCATAAAGTTATAGCAGTAGAACAACAACAAAAAAACCTTGTTTTGTCATTTGTGTCAAGCAGCAGTAGAATTATTGCTATCGCTGTATATACTATTATATAGTCTGGTAAGGCGTCCATTTTATGCTTTTATATATATGGTTGTAATACATTATGCTTATTAAAGTGATTTGTTCATAGTATCATAGGGCTGACCATATTTCGGTTAATCATATGTTATACTCATAAAATCTTAAGGTCAGTGACAGTCCTTAAACATTAGAAGTTTAAAAGAATTTTACAGAGCAGTTAGCACTTCTTGTTGAATGTCTGTGATAAAAATATACATATATGATATGAAGATGCACAAATACAATAACTCTACGTCAGTCTTTAATGTTTTTCTTTTGTTGTCTTCGCTTTAGTATGCAGACCCAGTTTCGGACCTCTTGGACAAGTGGGGCGCTTTTCGCTGTCGCCTCTTCCGGGAGTCCTGCGTCTTCCACCGAGGAAATTACGTCAAGGACCTGAGCCGCCTGGGTCGTGACCTCAACAAGGTCATCATTGTGGACAACTCCCCAGCCTCCTACATCTTCCACCCCGACAATGCAGTAAGTGTCCATGGACAACACTCAGTACCTGAGTCATGATGGTGATGTGGTGTCTGTGGGTGGGACAACAAGTTGGGGAATTATTTACCTACTGAAGATAATCTCTGTCATTGACAGCTGTATCACAGACAGTGCATCAGCTTTTTATTGCTTCACTTGACCATTTTGCCTTTTACTGGAGTACAAACAAAACATTTTGCACTTTTCTTAAACTAAATTAAAGGGGAGGTTAATTTGGAGTAAAAGAAATTGCACCTCAGAGTGAGAGATTCTTGGCCTGAGTCATGCCAAAGCTAACCACAAGTCCCATTTTGTGTCTTTTCAGCCTGATTAAACTGAAGTATCAGCTTGAATGTAATATACCACAAATGTTGTGGCTGAAAGTACATTTGTGCTTCTCTACTTGGTACTTGACTGATATGTGCTCAACTGTTATAAATATCCATTTCTGTATGAAAATGTTAATAGTGCTCATATTTCAAATGAAAAGTTCAGTTCAGAAATAATTGCTGAACTCTGACTTAGTACATTGCTGCACTGATTTAGACAACAATCTTATGTGTAAGGGTCCCCAAAAACCCTGCAGTTAATGTCATTTACTGACAGACAGCCAAAATGAATAGATTTGTTGGTGTGGTTTCTGAAAAACATTGTTTTCGTCTAGGTGCCCGTGGCCTCCTGGTTTGATGATATGTCTGACACTGAGCTGCTGGACCTCATCCCGTTTTTCGAGAGACTAAGCAAAGTGGACAACGTCTACACAGTCCTCGAGCACCAAGGGACCCCGAGCTAACAGTGTTTGACTTTTCATCTCAGCTCTGAACAAAACACCATACAAAACGGAAACACACACACACACACACACCAGCAAGGCTCCGGCACCAGCTTCAGCTATCACTGCCCACCGGAGCGCAGACAGCTCTACAGCTAACAGACCCTTCACCTTCCCAGGATCAAACCAACATCATGTCTGAGAGTCTTCAGTTACTTTGAAGGCGTCATCACTGCCACCTTCTGGTCAAACAGAAGCTTGCCTGAACATTGCCTTGCAGCTTTCCTCACTGAACCAACTGATAATGAGAGGACAAATGAACGCTTAACATTTCTGCAGTGTCACTGACATAATGAGGTTGGAGGTCAGCAGCCACAAATCACCTGGACGCAGATGGGGTACCGGACATAGACTTCTCATGGATTCAGCAGTCTGAGGCTGCAAACCGATGCGGGATTTGTTAAGCGGGACTCATGTAGAAAAGAATTTTTGGAAAGGTTTACGTGCAGATAAACCCGATCAGCCTTGTCAGTGAAAAAACAGATGGTGTATATGTACTGTAGATACCTTTTAAATAATTTGGAGTAGCATTATCTTTGTCACACACCCTAAATTCTTCAATTATCACACTATTCATCTGCAGGCAAAAGCATGTGATGCTCGGGTGTCATTTTAGAGTTTTTAAAACAATTTAATCAGGTATTTTAGAATATTAATGTCAGTGTTATGGGTGAAAGTGATTTAAAAAGGTAGCTTCTTTAAAACCCAGTTGGAGCTGTAATGTCAAGTGTAACCAGAAGTTGTTAAATTAATTAATGACAAATCAATTGGACAGCACTTTACAAGTATAGTCTAAAGTACAGCCTTCCTTGTTACTGCAGGCTAGAAGTTAATTTTAGCACAATTTATTTACTAAACTCAACCTAAAAATATAGCAATATATAATAAATGGGGGTCATGATATGGGATTTTTGGTATTTACTTCTAGTATCAAATCAAACAGGTGGAAAAAAAATCTGTTCTCTCTTGTTATAGCAGGAAGAAACACAAATTTTTGATCCCTGGGAACATAACCTTTTTTTCCATGTTTATTTTTTTCCAAGTGAAAATAGTTGTATATCTTAAACAATGAGCTCAGTTAAACATGCTAAATTGTTACCAAATGTCAGCACTAAAACAGATAATTACTGCAGTATTTTTCCCAAAAGCCTGACACTAATTAGAATATCACACCATCTGCATGACAGACAGCTGCTGTGCTTATTAGATGTGGCTTTCCAAAGGCGGTTTAAAGATCGCTGGACACCCACAATGCAATATATGTGTAAGTGTGTGTCAACAGATGTTGTAACCGGTTGATGTTAGATATAAGAGGACTGGTGCTGATTCCTAAAACCACCTGGAAATCTGTTATTGTTATTTGTGTTGTGTCAGAACCGCCTCCACTGACGTGTGGTCGGTTTTGTTACTTGTTTTAAAGCCGCCCACAAAACTTGAACTCTTCACTGCATTTACAGACAGTTTTTGAACAGCTAAAGAAAGTCGAAAAATGTTAGTTTGCTTGTCAGTTTTGCTTATATAAGCTTTGAACAAGATTTTTTTTTTTTTTTTTTTTTTACCTAAGCGGTACACATAGGCTGGAAACAACTTCAGGGTTTTGTAATAAAATATGTATCGAGGGGGGGACTGGTATGAGGACCGAAGGCCTGGTGAACAGGCACACCTTTGAAAGCAACAAGTGGTTTAATGCAGTCCAGAAACAAAGGAGAAATCCACTCTGAAACACTTCAACACAGTTAACAGACAACAGTTGGTAATATATACATATGTGTGTGTGTGTGTGTATATATGTATGTATATATGCACACACACACACACACACACACACATACATCTTGCAACTCTGGGCCATTTCTGCTATTTGGCTGAGTCAGTCTGTTGGGTAGACATGTAATGTTAAGATAATTGCAGTGCAGCTAAGACACTTTAAAAGCATGATCATTTATGTCAGGTTGTGTTTTCTTATGTGTAGTTGCAATTTTACACAGGCATTTATTTTAAACATCATATTTGGAACATAAATAATAGAAAGTGCACATTATTCATTACAGGCTTCCAAAAGTGTAGTCTGGGAAATGTAGGAAATCATTATGAGAAGTAGAAGTTTAACAAAAAAACGATGGTGTGTTGCAGTGTGAAAATACTTGTGTGGAATTTTCCTTTAAAAATTAGAACAGATGTGGAGTGCATTGCGTCTGTACTGCTTCTTATTTCTCTTCTGTACAGTATAAGAGGTGATCAGATGGTTGGTTTGACGGAGCAGCCTGGCCTCCAGTAGGTCTTTTAGGTCTCTCGCTGTCTCCCTCATTTGCATTGACAATACCATGCGTTGACACTGATGAATGAAATGGTGGATTTGACTAAGAGCCTCGATAGCATGTTTGTAATGTGACTACTTAGATGGAAAGGGGATGACAATTAAATCCACCATATTAAGAACTATAACATTTTTCTATATTTAACAAATCTTTGTCAATCAAATTAGCGTGTTTTTTTTTCTAAATAAGAACTGATTTTAATTCATTGTCACCCAGAAGTGGTCCTCTGATAGAATATGTTTAGTTTGTATTCGTTTCAAACATTGTTCTTGTTTTCATGCAAGACCTGGTCTGTTACCTCATTAATTGGTAATCTATGAATCAGAAACCCCAGCAAATAAGTAAAAGGATAGTAATTGCTGTTGTAGTTGCATAACAGGGTAATTAGTTTTGTAAGTGTGTTTTGTTTAAGTCAACAATAACATTTCTCAATTAGATTAAGGTCTGGATTTGGCAAAGTGAAGTATTTATAGGAACACTGAGTAGTACCCATAAAACAAGCGTGTCACTATGGGGCCCATTCGCTGATACTGTACTTCTTACACATTCAGTAGATATGTATATTTTGTTTTGCACAGTAATAAAAGCAAACAAATTTTAATATATGGAAGATTCTTGTTACTGTATTATTGATTGAATAGATGAATTCTAATTTGTGACCTTTGTTGTACTATCATACCAAAATATATATACACAGACTGTCTGTAATAATGCCGTTTGTTCCATAAAAGCTAAATGAAAGCGCTGTTTGTGTTGAGTAGTTCCTCCTTTCAAAAGCAAAACAAACAAGTCTTTGGGCATGGGAATTTGATTTTGATGTGGTGTTTTGTGAGAATTTTGGATAGGTTTAACAATTTGGACACTGAACAGTTATTAAAATAAACATTAAGAACAGTAGTCACTTCAAACCTGTGTTCACTTGTGTAACCGGGAACAACATTGCCAGCTCTTTGCTGATGATGGTTCATCTTGGACAGATTTAATGTTGTCTTTGAGACTTTTATCTTTCATGAAGTGTTTTCATTTATTCATCATGTGTTTTCTTTTCAGTGCGGAAGGGTTCCCAAAGCAGCTTCTTGTTGTACTGGCTAATCTCTGCCAGCTGAGATTAGCCAAGCCACAAGAGAGGTGCCATCATTGTTTAAGTTATTTGCAGATACTGCAGTTTAAAAAAATTGATTAATCTGAACCCTAATCTTCCACGTTCAAATAGCTTGAGCGTTACCTGTCTCGAATAACGGTAAGTTTGTCGGTAGAAGCTTTCTACCGTGATTGGATTATGAGCCTCAGCTTGTGCCTCTCATGTGATATACAGCAGAGTCACAGAGACAACTCTTAACACTGAGCTGCAAAATTGATACATGGTGCCTGTTTCAAAAGATGTAATTTTAGTCTAACATTTTTTTTCTTTTCCTGGACCAGATGATTTTTGTTTATCTGCCGTTAGAAGCCTCTAAGAGGATTTGGGAAGTAGCTTCGGAATCTAGGTGAGTGTTGTCGGTAAGACTGTTGGCCATGTATCAATCCGCAGCTCAGTTACACTTGACAGCATTTTAACCTGTGGTATTACTGACCGCTATTTTTCATGTTTCCATGTCAGGAAGGAGATCTACAGTGTCCCGGCATTGCGCTCCTTTGCTCGTTCCACAGCCCTGATGCTCCTTGTGTAATGTGTCCACCTACTTGACAGGATGAATTGTCCTTTCAGCACCATCACAGGATGCCCTCATTTTCTGCAACATCTGTCTGGATAACATTTGTCATGTTTAATTTATGATTTTTACACTGACAATTTGTCTTTTCCACAGTCCTGCAATGTTTTCTGTGGTAGGGTGGGTCAGGTAACCTTGTTTTGCACTTTTTTTAAACTAACTGTTACAAAGACAAAAAAGAAATGGTTGTATAATAATTTTCTTCAGCTGCTGTCTTTCCCCCATAGTGTTCTATTGTGAGGCCACATGAAAAGACCCAATGTAAATGTTCAAGTGCAGGTTTTGTGTGAACTGAACTGCTTAATTTGTATATGTCTAAAGAACATCGAACGCCAGACTCCAGTGCCCACTGCCATCACCGTGTGCACAGGCTGTGATACGAGCTCCAACAGGCCCAGTGGCCCACACCCCCGCTGCAAAGCCTGCCTCGGCACAGAGCACGCCGAGCTGGCACTCTCGCCCCAGGCTGCTCCCCCTTGCTCGCAGGGAAGAAGCAGCGAAATTTTGCGACCTATCAAGACGTGCTACCCACTGTTCACAAAGTGGTTAGGGTTAGGGTGATGGATTGGGGCGGGGTTAGTCAGTCCATAGATTTTGCAACAAGGTAGTATATCTCGACAAGGTAGCAAAATTTGACAGAACACCGGGCTGAGGCGTTCGCAGCTATCGGAGATCGAGATCCAGACGATGACAGCAGCTGAGTGAACCGCAGTGACGATTCCTGGGTGGATGACCACCTCGAGTTTTAGGCACAGAGGAGCCGAGTCCGTTGACTCGCTTCCCTCCATGGCTGGCTCCCCTGGCTCTCCCCTTGACCCATCGGTCGACATGGATGCCGGCCGAGACGCTTCCTCCGGCTCAGCAGCATGCTCCCGCCACCAGTCAGCCTCTAGCCTTCGGGGCTCTACTCCATGATCTGCCAGAGATCATCAGAAAGGTGGCAGACTGCAAGGGCATTCCTCTCCCACTCCCTGTTCTGCCATCTGGTGTGGCAGAATGAGTGAGACAACTCGCTTCATGGGGGCGGTCGCGCCCTCAGCCCCCTTGGTCTGACTGGCACAACCACGGAGGATGGCGCCACAGGCTGAGATGCCCAACAGCTGCTGTTGCTGCACTGCAGTACGCTCCACCACTGAGCACTGCACCTCCACCTCCTCCTCCCCCCGCAATTCTCAGACAAGCCGCCCGGCAGCTTTTCCGAACTGCTGGGCGTGCAGCCTGCACATGGAGGAGTTCCACTGCTGAGCCCCCTAAAGGCAACGGCGCCTCCCACCCATTGGTGCATGAGCGGTGGTTTTTCTCCCACACATGAGGAAGATGGCAAAGCTCCGCTTGGAGCGCTCGCTTCTTCACAGCCCTTTCGCTTACTTTCTATCATCCCCAAACACAGGAAATTCCTGCGCTTCTCTTTCCAAGGTGCACAGTTCCAATGCAACTGGCTGCCTTTCAGTCATTCTCTGGCCCCCGCGTAGAGACCGCATTAGAACCATTATGCAGGATGGGAATCAGTCCTTTTTTATCGGGATGATCTGATTTTGATGGCACCTTCCAAACAGCAGGCTGCACTTACACAGCGGAGCTGATACAACACTTGGCCCAGCTGGGTTTTGCACTGAACTGGAAAAAAGAGTTCACTGCTGTCGTGTCAGACAATCACTTATTTGGGGGAGCAGCTGGACTCTCTCAGCATGAAGGTGAAGCTGTCATCTGCCAGGCGCTTTCATCTCTCCTGCAGCGCATCGGTCCCTGCACAACAGTGACGGCTCTGTATGTGATGCGCTTACTGCGCATGATGTTGGCCAGTCGTAGTGGTTCCTCTCAGTCTCCTCCACATGAGGAAGCTCTAGAAGTGTTTTGGTCACCTTTACCTCGACCCAGTGCGGCACAAGAGGCGCATGCTAGCAGTCCTCTCCTTGGTGTCAGTGTCATAGCAAAGGGAGTTTCCCTCGGCAGAGTCACGTCACACATATCGGTGTTCACAGATGCGTCTCTGTTCAGGTGGGGAGGCATGTGCCTGTCACAGGTCATGGGGGTAAAGTGGCGTCAAACCCCATCTCTCCACATCAACTGTCTGGAGCTATAGCCATAGTGTTGAAAGTGTTAAAACATGTTGCTCCAATACTGAGAGGCAAACACGTAGTGGTGCGGTCAGACAACAACAGCCATCGCTTACATCAACCGGCAAAGCGGTGTTTGTTCTGGCAGGTTGCTGGAAATGACATGGAGTCTCCTGCTCTGGGCCCATCACAACCTGTGCAAGGTTTTCAACACTGGTTCAGCTGCTGGGGGGCGAGCCATGGCAGCTCCTGTGGCACGGGGACGCACTCTCTCAGTGGGATGGTGCGATTCATCAGCTTCCCGTAATAGGGTAGCGCCTGTAGGCTTAGCCCCTGGAGTGACTGGAGAGCATCGGCTTGCCCCCACGGTCGTGCGTATAATTCAGTGCACGAGAGCCAACAACAGCATCTTACGTGGCAAAATGGTCTGCTCTTCAGCGGTGGTGAGTGGAGAGAGGCACACCCCCCACGCTATGCCCACTGGCTCAAGTGTTGATTTTCTTACAGACCCTGGTAGACAGAAACCTGGTTCCTTTGAACCTTTGAAATAATTTCTTTTCGATCCAGAGTCATCTCCCTGGATGGTTTCTTTCCTCCCCCACGCAGAGATGGGCCGGAAGGAAGAGCTCCGTACCCTCTGTCTAGTGCGTGCACTTTCCTATTATGTGGCCCGCAAGGCAACTGTCAGGCAAACACAGCAGTTGTTTGTGCATTACAGAGAGCACTCTCTTGGGAAGCCCCTGACAAAACAGTGGCCGTCACTGGTTGTGTGAAGCCATCATTCAGGCATACGTGTCAGCTGGGAGGGATCCTCCACCTGGCATCAGAGCTCACTCCACAAGAGCTATTTCATCCTCCACCATGCCCTTCAGGGGGATAGCTTTAATGTTCTACTATAGTTCTATTTGATTCTACCCTTTTGAAATGACTTTTTACTCTATGTCCTCGGCAGAGCATCCACAACTCCATTGTACAAGTCAAAGCAACACTTCCACCTAAACACCTGTTGATGAAGCTCAAAGCCTGAAATTGTCAAATGTATAAATTATTGAAGTCAAAAGTGGCCTTGTACCAGGTTACATGACTATTAGGAACTCCTCTGAATATGTAATCCATGATACCATGTAATCCACACCCCCACCTTCAACTAAAACATCAATACTGAATTCATACATTGACAATGTCAGACACTTTGAGCTTCATAAATATATTCAGGTGGAAGTGCATACAAGTGTACCTAAAAACATGGCTGCTGAGTGTATCACACAGCCACAATTAAATAAGAACAGTTTGTTCCTTCACCTATAAGAACGTCTTCTGCCAACTCTCCTCTCAAGATGTCTTCAGTGGGCACATCATTTTCCTCTACAAGGAACACAGAGATAAGACACCTTACTCGTGAACAGCTTCCACATACATATTTGGAGTGAAATGAAAACGCTAGCTGCTAAACTTACCTTGCTATTTGCTGATCTTCTGATAAATCATCAGATGTATCCCTGGGGATGGGGCTCACTGCCAGGTGGCCTTCGGAGCTCTGAAAGTGGAGGAAAAACACCGGTGTGATGTCGTTATCTGGAAACGTACATTTGACAGACGTACTCATTCGCTGTAACTGAACATCAAATTTGCTTGTTTGGGCTGGCCCCTCAGATACTGTGGACATTCTGTATGAGCAAGGTGAAAAATAACCGTGTCATCTAAGGTGATGCCTCTTGACATCCAGCGCCCCTGCAACATCAGGTGGCTGAAACAAAAGACAATTGAATTCATTAATATAAAGGTGTGCAGTGTAAATTCCATTGCTTTTTGCCCCATCTCTCCTTGCAAAAATAAATACATTCACCATTTCATTGTCAAACTGTCATCCACCTCCAGTATATGATGATGATAAACCATTTCACCTAAATGTGAACTATATTTATGGTACTTTCCACATATCTTATCCAAACTTTGAAATCTCAAATAAAAGTACCAAAGGTGTGACTATCAATTGTCTTATGTTCAAAGACAACAACTGTATATTATATTTCACCAACCAAAACTTGTAATCCACAGTGCATGTTCCTCTGCATCAAAAACCTGAGATACACATAAAAAAAGGCTACTAAAGCCCCTTGAACTTTGACATTGACCTTAAGTTTCTCTTAGTATTACACAGACACTGCTCATCCTGTGATGCTTTTTGCTGTGGGGACAAAACACTTAGAGCAGATGATGGCACTATGCCTACTGTACATTATTCTATTATACATAAGATCACATAAAACTTCTTTGGGACCTTACCTATTTCATTTTATGTGCTTCTATAAATTCACAGAAATTAGGAGCCTGCTGCTTGCACCCAGTCATTTTGGTTGAAATATATTTAATTACAAATTATTACATTAATAAGGCTGGGGAGCCTGTAACACTGTCACCACGCCCATAATGCTTTTAGTTCAAACTGGGAAAAAAAACCCATTGCAATAAAGGGACTTTAACCACCACCTTGTGTTTAAATTGGGTAACCTGGATACTTTGAACTCTGTCAGCACACAGCAAAGCCTTAAAATGAGGCTTAAATACATTAATTGGGTGGTGTTCACAAGTGTAGGCTCATTTTTGACCGCTTTACATGAAACTCAGACAGCCCAGTGTGAATTTATTTCTAGCCATAAAAAACATATTCAAAACAAAAGCAAAATGTACCTGACGACTACACTCCGGAGAGGTCATGACACCAGTCCATCTGCAATCCACAAAGAAATCCTAAGACATACATTAAAACACCCCTAAATCACATCTTTATGATCTCACACTCCTTTAAATTAGTGATGTTATGCTCGAAGCAGATGGCTCACCACAGTATCGATCTTTCAAAGCAGATGTATCATGTGTGTATCATGTGTCGATGCCTCGCTTCACCATGCAAAATATCACGTGACTCCCCAAATGAAGCTTCATGATGTCACACGTGTATTGGCAATGTGTCGCACCGGTTTTGAATACGGGGTGGGCTTATCAAACTCTCACCATGCTTATAAACCGGCACAGTCCCTCTGCACTCCGTGGGTTTTTTGAGAGGGAGAGTTTTTGCGTGCGTTACTGCTATAGTTTCATTGATTGACAACCCGGGAGAGGTTTAGGTAGGATTAGCATAAGATTAAATAAACTGACATACAGTTATACACTCACATTGGCACATAGACATTCAAACAGTCTCCACTGAATTATATACTCACATACACATATTAAGTACACATACAGAGAAGGCATAACAGGTCATTTAGCAGATAAATGTAAAGTGAATGTGAGAACATAAAAAGTCTTTATGTGATAGCCTGTGTAGTGAGTGTTTAAGAGTGAGGAAAGGAAAAATAGGTTGAATGGAGGTAGGGCCACCTAAAAGAGCAAGATCATATGTATGGGAGCACTTTGACCTTATTACCTTAGAAAAGGTCAAATGTCTGATCTGTGCTCAAGAACTGGCCTTTAACAACAACACCTCTTCAATTCTGAGGCACCTGTGATCAAGGCACCCACAAACTACACCCAATCCAGCTGCTCCTGCTGCAACTGGAGTAACTGGACAAGGTAGGTCTATTACAACTGGCATGTATATTCATTAAAAAGATTGATAAAACAACAATACCTCTTCAAAAGTTATGTGTGCATACTCATTCACATTTTCTGGCTTAAAGGGCGACAGGCTGAACTGGATGAGGCCTTGGTAGATACAGTACGATTGTGGAGGACTGCCAGTCATTTTCTGTAGTGGGGGATAAAGGCTTTAAACCCTTTGTTAACAATGTCTGTGCAGATTCTCAGTCATCCAGGTCATAGTAAGCTGAAAATAAACTGGAATAGATTTCTAGGTCGAAGTTGTTTCACATCTCATCCAAGAGGCTTTATCAGTTCTGATTATGTTAACAATCTTGACCCAACATAAATCCTGCCCACAAGACAAGCACTGAGAGTCATGGTGGAGACAAAATATAAAGAAGCCAAAGAGAAAGCTATAGTAGAGCTGGCAAAGACTGTGGCAGTCTGCTTGACAGCAGACATGTGGACATCTGTGAATATAGATGCATTCCTTGGGGTCACCTGCAAGTACATAAATGAGGAACTGAAACTGTCATCTGTCCTGTTAGGTGTTATTAAATTCCCTCAATCCCACACAGCCAAAAACCTAAAGAATGCCAAGAACAATGTTCCCCCTAATTTTTCATGTGTCTGAGCATACACACAAACTCCCTGAGAATTCCTTGGACCACTGTGAGCAACATCAGACGTGCACACTGTGGACCCACCAGTATCACACCTGTCCAAAACCTGAGATCATAACAAGTTACATGGCTTATTAAAAGAATCAAATTACAGCAGTAATTTCAGTTAGATTACTTTTAGTACAAGTGATTTGGCCCACCTACAATGAAAAAGACAATCTTGTTTTTCATGAGCTGTGTAGTATGTTGTAAGTCAGGGTGAGGATCCTGCTCTGGAAGAATTGAGACAT